AAACACATGTGGACAGCTACAGATACAAATAAATACACTTATGGACACTATACAGCTCAAGTGAAGAACAAAGAAAAACACTTACAGTCTGCAACTTTTGATCAAAGCCTTCAAAATGTGGTCCACTGAGCTGCAAACAAGAAGACATGAGAAGTAAATGTGTGTGTGTGTTATCAGGAAAAAAAAAATCCACTGAAAACAGACAGTTGCAACCCCTTGTTTATTTACAGCCATTCATAAATCAGGAAAGCAATAGGGTGCTTCCTTTGGAAGATGACGTTAGTCCCAAAAATCTGAGGTCATCTTCCAAAGGTCCCCTAAATGTTTGAAGTAACAGGGAAAAACTGAAATCCAGTTTGTCCCAATGTGTGGCGCTCACATTGTAAAAAATAGTCAGTTGAATTTCAACTTAAAATTATAATTAGACCTCTGAAAACTTTATGTGTGTCCTAAGGCAAAATCTTATCAATTTCTCTGTGTTTTCCTCTGTATTGTTATTATATGTGGGAAAACCCACTGAGATGAAAGGAGGATGCCAGTATCGAGCTAATGTGGGATGAGGTTAGCAAGCTATCAGATCTCCAGAAAGGTGCAGTCCAATAAAGAGGTTTATAACTAAAAATTACGATGCATGCAGGTTGGATGGTGCTGATCAAGAACCATCTCCAATCCAAGAATCCGTCAGGACTGACAAGAAGTGTGGTCTCAAAATATGCACTCTCCGTGGAATGGTAAAATTACATACTTGGGGAACCAGATGAGCCCCAGGTGTTCAGTTTTGGAGTAGATGACTCTCTCGTATAAGTCGTACAGTGGTCGCCACGGCAACTGTAGGTCATCCCTTGACAGCAGTTCCTTTTTCCTGTTTGAAAAAAAAAGTCAGTTACTGGCCGATAAATATGGTTTTCATAAACATAATGCAAATATGGCTGCTAACACACAATGTGCTGTCTGCTAACAGCACGCTGATTCTTTACCGTCAGTAAAGCATAGCTGGACTGGCAGCTGCAGGCATTAGCAATTTGCATGAGTCGGCTCAGCCGGTTTCAAATGTATGAAATACAACCCGCCTTTAAATTGCTCTTCTGACAAAAGAGAACCACATTTAAGATACCTAGATGATTGATGCAGTGTGCTTTTTGTGTGCTGTTTGTTTCATCTTTTTTGTTCTTATCCTTTCCAAGTCTGGTAACATCTTTCAGATTTTAAACACATTTATGTGTGTGAGTAATGGTGAGTAACTCATAAGCTTTCGAACTGAACGGTTAATTTATCCCCCAAAGAATGTGCATGATTTCTTTGTATTCCATTACTGAATTCTTAGTCAAATGACTCTTTTGATGAGATTAAAGCTCAGAGAAAGATTGAGAATCCCTGGTTTGAAGACTATGCACAATTTCCACAACCACATATCCTTCTTGTCAATTCTTTCCTTATTCATATAACGTGATGGAAAAAACTGTCATTGGGGAAAAAGCTAAAATAGAAGAAAAGTAAGAGACAATCAGAAAAATGGCTGTGAAATGTGAGAGATGGCACAAGAGGTCTATTGAGACCTGAAGCTTGATGTTAACTATCAAATGCAGCACTCACCTATGAGACCTGGCACTCAATAAACTCAGATCTATCGTATTTCAAATAATGGAAAACACTCAGACAGAATGACATCGACATAAAGATGTTGTTTTGTGATGGATGTGCAAATCACGAAAAGTACTGAGGATAAATGGGTAAGTGATGAATGGGATGACTATCACTGCAGGAATGACATATCAGATCTGAGAGACAAAAGCAGAGTTACAGAGCAGGGCAGAGCTTAAAGTGTGATAAATGTACTGTACAGCCAACATTTTTCCCTTTTTTTTTCTCCTGATGTGAGCATATCAATCTGGGTGCAAACGTGGAGGGATATCTAATTCCATTCTATTCAAGTTTCCTTTTTTAAGAGACAAAGAAATATTGTACATTTTATGCTACCAGACACAACATAATATACATATAAAAAGCTGCTGAGTTTAGTTAGTGAGGAAGAATATTTCCTTTCAAACAGTTACTTCATTGAAATGCCCATTTGAGGCTAAATGAGCTAAAAAATTCCCCATGTTTCAACCAAAAAAAGCATAGCCTAGCCATTAATCATCTCCTGAGCTGCGGAATGTATTTTGTGACCCAGTGGAGAGGTACTGATTGTGAAGTTGACTAACTCATCTCACCACATATAAAGAAGCAAGAACTAGCTCACCTTTTATTAGCTACAACATTAAAATTCTACTAATGTGTCAACACAAATCAGGTGACCTTTGTCTGCTCTCTAGTGTTTTATAAATTTCATACTGATCAACAACAGATAAGTTTAAAACAATTGTTCTACGTATGAATGCGGAACAATATTCGCTATGGTAAAACTTTTAATATTCAATCTTAGTTAAAGAAAACAAGATTTTCAGGGTTAGAACAGTATGTATATTATAATATTTTCTCTATGTAAATCACTCTGAATAGGTCCATTATGTCTGTTTGTGTGTAATTAATGGAGCATTCAAGAGACTTAAGTTTGATGCTTGGAAATTTAGAGATTAAATGACAAATTCACAAAAAATACAGATTTGTTGTGAGATTCAAATTGTATCTTCCAAATGAATACAACCCCCTTGTGACATTATTAGAAAAAAGTTCCATTGCACAAGGCGACAAAGTTAATAATTCATGGGAATCAGATATTTATGTTAAAGCAGATGCTAGCAAGTCTCAGGACATCAAACAGAATGAATGAACAGAATCAATGTTTGCCAGTGTGCGCATATTGTTTATGTTTGAAGCTCTGCACCTAAACAACCAAAATGATATTTCACAAATTACAATATGATGCACATCCCCCAAAGTTATCATTATCATCATACCGATGTGAGACGGAGAAGACGCAATGGCCATTCTGGTAGAGCGCTCATTCAAAACAAAAGGTACAACAAACAACAGAACTTGCGGCCTTGCGTTACTAAGAACACAGATCAGTTTTCAAGTTTACACACAATATCAACTCAAGGCCACGCAACAATCTTTACGCACATCCTCCAAACGACATCGCTCTCAGCGTGAGTCACAGCAGGCCTTCAGACAAGTGAAGCACTGCTCATCAGAGCCACTGCTGTTTGAACAATAGCTCTGGAATCCTTATGAGAAGGAAGTTGTGAGGCGCGCATGACCATGAGCAACGTACGCCCTCATGTAAGGTAGGGATCAAAACAAGTACGTGAAAACTATTTTCTATAACTATGGCGTGAGTTTCATCAGCAACGAAAACACGGGTCGTGCTGTCAAGGACTCTGGTGTTGTGGATGACACTTCTACCTCAAACATAATCATGTGCAATTTGAACATAGTCTTTTCTATTCAGAACGCTTGGCTGACAATAGCAATGAGGAAACTTCACGATAGCATTTATTTTATTTTTTTCTGAGGTCAGAATCTTTTTTTTAATTACATTTTTAATCATATCTGAAAAGGAACAACATTCTCCAGTGGCCGTTTGATTTCAGTCTAAATTGCTCTTGTTTCTGTCTGTCTCTTGTACCTTTAGGGTTACTTGAGTTTGTGAAAGCATCTTCCAAATGTCAGAGGTAAGAAATCCACTTTAACCGTCATGTGATGACAATCAGTGTGCCGCTATTAGCACAGCCATGTTTACCAACAGGGATGCCATTGATCTCATTATGAAGACAAAGGAATCCTATCCCGGTGAGTTCAGCTTCATTCTTCTGCAAATTCTTCAACTGGATTTAGATTTATTGCACAATGCATTCATATAACTACAGTCTATAAGCACCAGCTAGAGACCCTGCTCTTTCAGGCCACAGCTCCTCCTAAGGGACCCCCAGACATCTGCCAGGCCAAATGAGACATCTAATACATCCAGCAATGATCTGGCTCTGACCAAGGGTCCACAGGGAGGCGTCTCTCAGGGGTGGCGTGTGTGTGCGTTGCTGTCAAACCTACTTGAGAAGCTGAATGAGCAGCCTGGCGTAGCACTGCATCATGTGCGGCTCTAGGTTGGGCAGCGTGACCAACTCGTACAGGAGCTTGATGAAGAGAATGTGGTCCTCTTTGCTGAACCTCCGGCCATACAGCTTCAGAAATCTGAGGGCGAGAGGGCAATTAGAGGGAAGCTGATCACTTCCTCTGACCCATATTCTGACCCACACAGCATCTGGGACACGCTGTCTGAGCATGACAGCTCGACTGTTTTCACTGGAAATGACTTTATGGCAGAAGATGAAATATCTAGGTGTTTTCCTAAGACACCCAGGACCATATCGCCAGGTTATTCTGATTAAATCGTGCTCCTATATGCTAATACGTTCGGCGTTTATGCAGGTTTAGTAGAAACTTTCCTATTCAAAAACTTAAAATTTGAAGTGTAGCATTTAATTAGTTTAGATTGTTTACACCTGCTGCTGTAGATAACTGTATCAAGATATGATGAGGCTTAAAATGCATCTATGAGACATCCATTTACTTCAAAGAATACAATTTACTCTTAATGTTGCAGAGAATCGTCAGTGACTGACTGTGAGTTCTAAGTTTCCCAAATTCAACCTTACATAAACACTTACGAGAAGAGTTTCCTGGACCAGAAAGCCACCCCAGGCCACAGCTCCCTGAGGAGAACAGCTCTACACAGATTTGCCTTGATCTCCGCCAGCAGTTCCGTGGCCTCCCTGTCCAACCGCTCAAAGTAAGGCAGCAGGCCGTTGTACACTATCTCCTTCTGGGGGGCGAACCCCGCGATGACCCCATCGACCGTCATATCCGCCCTTTTTCCTCAGGTTATTCCTCTGTCGTATCTCAAATCTGCGCGCAAATATAAAAAAAAAAAAAAACGAAAGCTTGAGGGGGAAAGCCGGGGATCTGTGGAACGCTGCACCTTCTGGAGAGTGCGCCGCGCAAGTTAAAGTGCGTAATCCGCTGTGTCCGGGAACCGGCCGGAAAGTATGTCACGCTAATTGAGCCGGTCAAAGCCCCGAGCGCAGGAGACGGGCTCCGTTCCGCTCTTGTCTGCAATGTCAGACGCTGTGTCACGTCTCACCCCACTCCACATCACAGGGAGGTCGCAGGGTTGCGCGCTGGTGAACCGCAGGGGGTTCGTTTGGCATGCACGGTGCACAATGCAGGGGGTTCTGCGTCCTTTTTTCCCCCCTTTGCTTCTGGGAAGAATTAAGAAAACACGTACTAAAACACGACGTGAAAGAATACTGCGCAGCGCGTACTTTTGGGGATGATCACCTATTTATGGTGTCACTTATTGGAATTATTCACTGTGAAACTAGAATAAAAGCAGTTTTGCCCAAACAACTTTCTATTCAGAACACAGACAGACCGTCATTTGAAGAAAAAAAGCTAATGATTTATCATAAAAAAAAGTATACGTTTATGGATACTCTTGTGAATCAGAAAAAATCCCAGAATGCAACATTCTGGACTACAAATCCCAGCAGTGTTATCTTTGTTCAGATGGAAGCTAATCTGAAGAACATTAGGATGATCTGATAAAGGGATTAAGGCTACTCTCCTGCTCTACTGACCCAGTAACCCACTGTTATTGAAACTCAAGTCTGTCTATCTATCTATCTATCTATCTATCTATCTATCTATCTATCTATCTATCTATC